CAGCCACCATAGCTGGTGGGCTTGGACTACAGTGAAGCGCAGGGGTGGTCTTCGGGTGACAGAGAGGACAGGTGTGGGAAGTCAGGGGATAGGTGAAGGATGATGATGATGATGATGATGATGATGTGAGGGCACGTACCTTGTATTGGCGATGGTCTGCATGAACGGCATCTTCAAGTACTTTGGACTGCTGCTGATGTCAACAGTTGCATTGTCTTTTTGTAGGCTGTATAGCTGTGTAGGATTAGGTTGGGCACTGAGCACCAAGTGTGAGTGTAAGGGAACTGGACTCGTGTGTTGACAGGAGAGAGTGTGCTCTCCACAGACATTGGTTTTCAGTACTACAAAACTTCATTGGTGTATTATTGGTGCAATGCTGCTATCTGGACACAGTGTGACTATATGGCTTGCAATGTGATGGTGTGATCTGGGTTTGTCATCTCGCTATTGCTTATTTTCCTTGCAATTTGGTATCGGAGTTGGTTCATATTGCGTTTCATTGGTTCTTCACAATAGCTATTGGTGCTTCGCATGAGGTGTGGGGCAGTGATACGGCATTGGCGTTGAACATTAGGCGGCCCAGGGTTGTGTGGGCACGCCACGGAGCTATGTGGTGACATACGGGATGTATGCTGGATGATGAGAACTCGCTGATGTGACATATTAAGTTGAGATGGAACCGCATTCTGCTGTTGGTTGTGCCGAAGCAAAGACTGGTCATCATAATTGCACATCAGGTTACCGGTGAGAAATCTGTGGTTGGGGGCAGCATTTATAAGGTACGTTGCTCTCTTCCTTATCTACCCTCTTCATCTCTTCTTACCGTGAGGAAGTGAGTTCTGTCTTGAGAGTCCTCTCGATGTGAGGTGTCGCGAGCGCTCAACCTTGAGAGTCGACATTCTTCCTGGGCAGCAAGCTGGTGGGAGACGAGCGAAGCCTCTCAAGGGCCCTGGACGAAGCACTCGGGTCACGGACACCATGCCAACCCGTTGGAACTAGTACACGCATGCTTGGGCCGCAAGTCCTTGTTCTGCTGCTTGCGCAAATAGGGGTCAACTCGGGCATGGCAACCTCTACGAGACGCTCACCAGACCGTCTATAAACATTTCTGGTCGGGGACTCAGATCTGAATCTGGCTGTGATCGTCATCCTGACTGCGACGTTAAATGATTCCTGAAGAGATGGGGGCGCTCTTTAAATTCCTCCTTATCAGCGAGATCAACCGGGTGTAAGGCTCGTCGGCGTACGAGGGTAAATAAGAGTGTTGTGGCTGCCTTGCTCGACGATGACTTGAGGCACAGGGGTGGGATCGAATTGCACACCTTTAGACATGCTGCTCAACCAGATGCTCAGGGACGTTGACACAAAGTGACTAATCAAGAAGGATACAGGGGGAGGGGGGGATTCCGGTAACTGTTCACAAAGACACTCAACAGACTGTCTGCCATCTAGTGTGCATCTCCAACAGGAGATGTTATTTTTGTTTTTGATTATCTAGTTGTTACGGACTTGCTGACAACTGACAGACAGCTGGAGATAGACTAGATCTTTGTTGTATTGCAATCTGTTCTAGGGTAATCTAAAAATAGATTTGATATATCCTGTAGGACCTGACATAAGTTGTTGCTACATCACTTAACTATTTCTGTTCATGTCGACCGTGGTTAGTTGTGTATCATATACGGATGTGTGTCAAGCTAAGGTAGGATTCAGTGTGGATTCTAGTTTAGATCACACACACTGTAGCTCATGAGTGATGCAAGCACAAGTGAGGAGGAGTTACTAGTGGACGACCGTAGGACTACCCGCAGGACTGCCCGCAGTCGACCCTTGACATTCTTGGAGATAGGTCCAGGAGACGAGAGAAGATTGAGGAGAGAGGCTAGAGAGAGGGCAGCGGCAAGGAGAGCGAGGGCAGCTGAGGACAGTGCTAGGGCTAGAGTTACAGCTAGCATCAGTGCAGCCATGGCTACCTCATCTATGACGCAACCCTCTACACAGCCTTCTTCGTCAGGAGTCAGTCAGGGTGGTTCTCAGGTTCCCATTAGTCAGATTGCGAGTCAGCCAGTCTCCACTCACGCCGGAGGACTTAGAAATCCGGCAAGCAGAAGAACTTCAAGATGAGTTACAGCGACAGATGAACAACGTAGTAAAGAGGAGAAGGAAAGCTATGCAAAGAAAAGCTAGACTAGAGAGTAGAGTTCAGGAGCTAGGCAGATTGGAAGGACTGGATGAGTCAGCATTAGACCCTGCTGTTCGTGTGCTGCGAGGCGCCTTACTTTCAGTGGCGGAAGCGCAAAGCGTTCAGCAGGAATTGTTGGCTGATTTAGTAGCAGGCCAGAAACAAATTATGGCTGAACTTCGGGGCACTCGCCCAATGGTGAGACAGCCACAGTTTGCTGTAGTTCCCCCTGCAGGTGCGGGTCCGTCCACGATGCCGCAACGCACAGGGCACACTTTCTCTCCTATGTTTGGCATACCCCCTCCAGGTGGTTTGGGAGCAATTAGTGGTCCGGTTCAGTCAGTCTCAGCCGTACCATCTACAACAGTGGTCACTACAGTCCCACTATCTAGCCAGGCCCAGGTTAGTATGCAACAGCCTGTTTCAGTGGCTATGTAGCTGCTGCAGCAAGCACCTGGGCCCATGCAGCCTATGCAATGGATGCCCAAGATACCTCTAATGAGTTCCAAGCCTTTCTCTGGAGACAAGAAGAAGGAGGAAGACTTGGACACCTGGGTGAGGACTGTGCCTACTTATGTGAGGCACAAGCTCACAAGGCCAGAACAAGAAGTTGTAGTGGCTGCCTCCTTTTTAGAAGGATCAGCAGCCCGCTCGTTGAATGGCTTAGTGCAGCAACAGGGCTACGGTCAGGATTTCGATGTCTGGGCTCAGACTCAGACATTGGAACAGTTCGTACGGTCAGTCTACAACAGGTGGCATGACCCGCAAGGGGCTCAAAAGGTCACCGATGCTATCAACAACCTGTGTTCCCGAAGGTTCAAGGATGTTAGAGAGCTAACAAACACCGTAGAACGCCTTCTCGTGGTACCTGGTGTGCTCTTTGACAAGCAGGTTCTCCTGACGGATTACCTAAGGTGCCTACCTACAGAGGTAAGGACCAAGCTGGTCGATGAGGCCTATGTCGATCAGCACACCTTCGCTTCTTTTAGTACGAAAGCACTGGACATAGAAGCAAAGTTGGGATCTGCGCACAAGGTATCCAATGATGGTAGGAAGAGACTGCCCCAAGATTGGAAGAAAAAGGGTCAGTTAATGTTCGTTGACCATGATGGTCAAACAATGAAGATTGACGACTACTCAGATCTTGGGGAGTTCACAGAGCACGATGGGGGTGGTGAGACTTCAGATGTTGGAGTCGTTGCACCCATCAAGGAAAAGGCTAGGGGGACCAGGAAGAAGAAGGTAGGACGGTCCACGGGTCAGGGCAACCAAGGAACACCCGCATGGGTAAAGATTGGTTTAGAGTATGAGGTGTGGCGTGACTGTGTTGCTAGGGGTACATGTATGAACTGTGGCCATTATGGTCACACGTCCAGGACTTGCCGCGGCAAGAAGGTCACCACGAAGGTAGTCTCACCAACGGTGGTGGGTTTATCTTCAAACCCTGGAAGTGCTTCTGCGAGCAGCTCACAGGGAAACACCTCGGGCCAGTAGGAGTGTTAGCCGCTCTTACTCGCGTTGAAGTGGTAACGTTGCCTTCCCCACTTCAGTCGTTGGCCAAGGCTAGTGACCCACGTATCGCCCCGCAGACACATTCAGACCCAACGACGCTCTATTCGAGAGATGTGTCTGAGGCCCTAGAGGAGTTAGAGACTGAGTGGTCAAGGAAGGACCCCAGGGACTCTTGGGCGATGATTAGTAAAGGTCCAAAGGGTAAACATTTCGTGGTAGAGGTAGATGTAGGTGGCCGCAAGGTTGGCGAAATTTCATCAGTCGTGCTTGTGTGGATAGACTGCGCTTAGGGGACCAAGCGCATAGGCTTAGCAAGACTGTAGCTTCTACGCTAGCCAACAAACACCAAATGGTAGTAAAAAACTATGTCAAGGACGTAGCCTGTTCCTTCTCCTATGGAGGAGGGGAAGTGATCCACAAGATTTCCTTCCTGGTTAGCGACGAACTGCCATTCGACATGCTACTAGGCATATACTACCTCGAAGACTCGCAAACACAGTTTGATTGGGATAGAAAGGTGTTGATACACAAGTTGCCAAATGGTAGGACCGTTAGGCTGCAGAAGTACAAAGCTAGCAGTCTAGTGGAGAACTACGGCTGCATGTGCGCTTCGTCGTTCTATAATTACCACAAGCAGAATCGCGAGGAGGGCATGTACCTAGTGTTTGTCTCTGAAAAAGGGGAGGTCGTTAAATCACCCCCAGAGATAGAACAAGTCGTCGCTCAATATTCAGACCTTTTTTAGGAGACCACAGGCGTGGTGGAAAGGGAGGTTGTCCATACAATAGAGGTTGTCTTAGGTAGTAAGGTGCCTAGAGGACGAATCTATAGGATGTCTCATGCGGAGTTAGATGAGCTTCGCCGCCAGCGCAAGGAGCTCACAGAGAAGGGATGGATACGGCCTAGTACCTCCCCTTACGGTGCGCCAGTCTTATTTGTTCCTAAGAAGGGAGGTCCGTTAAGGATGTGCATTGACTATAGGGGCCTCAATGCCATCACCGTTAAGAACGTGGAGCCCCTACCCCACATTGACGACCTCTTGGATAGAGTGCAGGGATATCGGTACTTCACAAAGATAGATCTGAAGTCCGGATACCATCAAATTGTCGTTAGACCTGAGGACCAACACAAAACCGCATTTCAGACCACGTACGGTCTGTACGAGTTTGTGGTGATGCCTTTTGGCCTATGCAATGCGCCTGGTACATTCCAACACGCGATGAATATGATCTTTCATGACTACTTGGACAAGTTTATCGTCGTGTACCTCGACGATATTCTCATCTTTAGTAGGACTGTAGAGGAGCACGCTGAGCACTTGAAAACAGTGCTAGGACTCCTAAGACAGCACCAGTACAAGGTAAACTTGGATAAATGCGAGTTTGGTCGCACCAAGATCTTGTACCTGGGTCATGAAATTTCAGCAGATGGATTGAGGCCGGAAGATGCGAAAGTGGCCAGCATACGTGACTGACCCAGACCTCAAACTGTTACTGAGGTCAGATCGTTTTTGGGGATGACGGGCTATTATCGTCCGTTTGTGAAGAACTATAGTACTATAGCTTCCCCATTAACAGATCTAACTCGACTTGACACCCCTTGGGAGCGGACTGAAGAGTGTTAGGCAAGCTTCAAGAAATTGAAGTATGCTCTAACGCACTATGAAGTTCTCAAACTTCCTGATCCTGACAAGCCATTTGTTGTGACCACAGACGCTAGCCAATATGGCATAGGCGCGGTCCTTGCGCAACAGGAAGGGCCCAAGTTGAGGCCGATCGAGTACATGAGCAAGAAGATGCAATCTCAGAAGTTGGCCAAGTCCACTTATGAGAGAGAGCTTTACGCCCTGTACAGAGCGCCAATTCATTGGAGACACTACCTCCTAGGAAGATTCTTCTATGTGAGGTCGGACCATGAAACTTTGCGCTGGATCAAGACACAGCCAGTCTTGTCGGACGCACTTAAGAGATGGATCCAAGTGACAGACATGTATGACTATCAACTTGATCCTATCAAGGGTACGTGTAACAAAGTGGCTGATGCGCTATCAAGAAGGGCAGATTATCTAGGCGCGCTAGTAACTGAGTTTGGCATATCTAATGACCTCACTCGATCGTTGGTGGAAGCCTATCAGGGAGACCCAGTCATGTCAGAGATCATTCGTAGGTTCAAGGCAAATGATAAAAAGACTTTGGACGAATTTACGATGGTAGACGACTTGTTGTTCCTTGATAAGGCAGGGAATAAAAGACTATGTGTTGCTAATAGCGAGTCTTTGCGTAGCTTATTTCTAGGAGAGTGTCACGGTGCAACAGGTCATTTTGGCTATAAGAAGACAACAGCAAACTTAGTTCAGAAATTCTGGTGGCCCTCTATGATGGAAGATGCAAAACGATATGTTGAAACCTGCCGGGTTTGCCAAAGGGACAAACCAAGGACTCAGGCACCGCTTGGGCTCATCAAGCCCTTGCCGATTCCTGAAGGTCCTGGTCAAAGTGTGTCCATGGACTTCATGGATACTCTTGTGACCAGTAGGTCTGGAAAGAGACAGATCTTTGTAATAGTGGACCGCTTCACTAAGTATGCCAGACTAATCACTATGCCCGAAACAGCTAAAACTGATCATGTCATCAAACTATTTATGCACAATTGGGTTCGTGACTTCGGTTTGCCTACGTCTATCGTTAGTGATAGGGATGTCAGGTTTACAAGTGGACTGTGGCAGTCAACTGCTGAGCAAATGGGCACAAAGCTCCAAATGACGTCAGGGAATCACCCTGAGTCAAATGGTCAGGCTGAACAGATAAACCGTGTAGTACAACACCTACTTAGGCATTATATAAAGCCAAGTCAGGATGATTGGGACGAGAAGTTACCTCTCGTCGCCAGCTTGTACAACAATGCGGTGCACAGCACTACCGGCATGACTCCCAACCAGTTACATCTTGGTTGGAAGCCCAGATCTGCGCTTGACTTTCTGTTACCAGAAAGACAACCCACTGCAGCACCTGGCAGCATAGAGTTTGTTGTTAAGTATGAGCAGATGCTGCAGCAGGCCGTGAAAAATATTCAGAAGTCTCAGGATGCTATGATTGCATCTGAGAACAAACATAGACGGCCTTCTAACTTTCAGGTAGGTGAGAAAGTCTGAGTGAAATCATCTGAACTAGGGCAGGACATAGGAATCTCAAGAAACCTGATGCCTCAGTACTTTGGGCCCTGGAGATCTTAGATATTGTAGGGGATCAACCGGATGGGCCTTCATACGTGATTTGCATCCCTGCACACTTACGGACCCATCCTGTTTTCCATGCCTCCAAGCTGGCACCTTTTTCTACCACAGACCAGTTTCCCTCTCGGAGATTAATGCTGCCCCCAACCATGGATGGCGAAGTGGACATTGACCATATCGTCGAGCATCAAATGATGCCTGTTCCTCGACCATCAGGCAAAGGGCGACCTCCTAAACCAAGAATGCAGTATCGGGTGAGCTTCAGACATCACCTCGATCCCAAGGAAGATCGCTGGTTCACA